GTGGAGGAAATGTTGAACAACTGCAATGAGAGAATTTGCAGTTGGGTTTAGGCTTGTTACTATTTATTAGAAATTCTCTAACTTATTTTCAGATGTTTTTATTATTTAAGAAAAAAACTGATAGTAAAGAGCTTGTTTCAGTATGGGCATGAAAAAATGTTTAATGGGGGAGAAGTTCGAAAGTCATTAAACTGTATTGTATGCAGTTGTTTCACTGCTAATACAGCAGCTGGGTCTAGTTGTACTTTTTAAAAATAAAACTGTCGTGTTGTAATAGAATTGATGCATCAGTTGTTGTTTTTTCAGAGCAGAAACACATCAACACTGAATACTTYAGTGTTTYTTCKTTTATCACAAGTCGTATCATCCCAATATTAAGCACTGTTATCGCACATCACAGGTCTTCCTGAGATCATGCAGCCCTAATAGAAATGTTTTAGATATTACCTATTTATCTCAGAATACAGTGTGGATTAACATTATCAAAAGTATAAAGGACTTGGCGGTCAAACAACACATACAACACTATCGTCACAGAAAKCTTGGGACAAATAACAACTTCGGACTGCAAACAAGTCTAGTAATTAAAAAGAGCTGTCCCTCTTTATTTTAAACCAGAAAAAAGTGAAAAATATAACTTACCAATTCATGCTTTGAGAATACAACATGCTATGTTAATATTATTATATTATTAATTTTAAATAAAAATGTAGACACTGACATAATAGTCCTCATCTCATGTTCGAATCTGTCAAAAGACAGACCCAAACCTGCAGCTTGCAAAACTTAAAAATGTTTTAAAAATATTTTTGTGATATATTTGAGAAAAAGAAAAGAGTAGAAACAATCTAGGAAAAAGACTTTCTGTCGGTCACACAGCAAAGSCTTAACCAAAATGTGATGAGTCTTACTATTAAATGGTTTGGTTAAAAGATGATGTGGATGAAAGATGAAATTCTCACATGCTTCAGTCTCTTTAAGCATGTTGGTGCTCTGCAAACATTCTCTGTTAGGCTTGGTCTTGTGGTGTGTATGGAGTTCAAGAGACGTGTTTGGTGGTTCAGGCTTTCAAAAATGTAATGCTGTTGTTGCCTCTTTCCACCAGGGAGCTACTGATGTGGTTTTTGCAGTTCATTCTCACTCCCTAAGTTATATGTGAACACATGATCGGCGCAATCTGCGTCACTTATTGATGCATCGGGTACCCCTCGTCATTAATTGATGACATGACACCATGAGGAGGTGTCCATTATTTTACATTTGAAAAACATGAAATGTCCTACAACTAACGCTAACTTGACAATAAACCTTTACCCTAAGCTCTATTAACCTAATTGTCGAACCTCTGGCCTTACTACATAAACATAACCAGTAAGCCTGATCCRTCAACTCAAACACTGACATAAACCTAAAACCTAATTTAACATGTTAAGCAATGAAGAGACGAGGGTACCCAATGCATCAATAAGTGACAGAGGGACCAAGCGTCCATATTTGATGAGGGAGTAAGAACATGTTGACTTTTGCCTGAAGTTCACCTCTTTTTAAGTTTTATTGGCATTAATGGAGAAGTTATTGTCTCCATGACATTTAACTAATTGTTCCATCTCTGCTCTAAAACTTTGATATTTTATCCTTTTATGGATAAACATCACCACTGTTTTCTGATTCATCAGTAATCTAAATCAGGTCAGCAGAGTAAAGACAAAAGGACTGAGCACACATCCTTGAGGGGCTCCTTTGACCAGTTTAGTAGAATTTAGTGTATTTATGACTGACAGGCATGGTCTGTTGGCATTTTAACAGGAAGTCCAAAATCCAGGAACAAAGTGATGCTCTCAGCCTTCTAGATGGCTTCAAGGACATCAGTTTTTGTTGTCCTGAGAGCTATTTTGACCTCAGATTCAAAGGCTGAATCCCTAAATCTTCCCTTTTGACCTAGAACAAACAAGCTAATTCATTGTCTTCCTTTTGAACTTTGTATTTGTGTGTGTTTCTGTTGTGTTAGCAAAATATCAGATGAATCTGTGGGTGGATTTATTGAAACTCTCAGAAAGTAATTATTGGATGTATAACTCTACTTTTGGAGTTCACCCAATTCAAGATGGCCTCCACAGCTAACTGACCTCCAAGCACATGAAAAACTTTAATAAAGTCATTTTTATAATGGTTACAAGTTGCTACATTTTGATGTGGTAGTAGCTGAGAGTCATCCTCAACAGATACTCTGCTCATGAGATCTCACATGAAGTTGTTCATAGTTTCATTTACAAGGATTGACCAAACAAA